AATGCCGCTTTTGGTGCCCTTATGTTGGTTCACACACTGCTGTTCTTTCCTTTTTAATTTGTGCTTTCTGGCTTTTATATCAATTCAAAATGGAACCATGATAAAGTTAACGCCGAATCAGTCAAGAAAGAAGACATGGAAATGCACACGGTAAATTAGTTGTTTCTTTTACTTTAAGAAAAATTTTTATTTTAAGACATTTTTATTTCCCGATGCACTTGCTTAATACGGTACACCTTATTCAGCTGCATAAATAATCGAATATTAAATTTTTCACTTGCATAACTTTATCATTTCTAACTACATATCGATACTTGAGTGGAATATCGACCTATCTCGGCAGTCAGTTCGAAAATGCTCTATCTCAGAAAACTTTTCAAGAGCGCCCTACTTCAGAATTTGATTGAAAAACGCCGCATCTCACCTGCCGATTCAAAAACGCCCCATCTCAGCACATTTTCAATGTATCTTCTGCTGAGATAGGGCATTTTTGAACCTAATTCTGAGATAGGGTGTTTCGAACTGGCTGCCGAGATAGGTCGATCTTTCACTTTAGAACGCGGTATGTTTCTCCTACGGGATTCTTTTGAGTAGACTCTTAAGTACATAAGTACGCATGTATGGCTGTATGTTTTAAAATAACTTTAATACTTTCGACGACCTAACTAATCTCAAAGTGACCTCATCTACAAAACACGTTCTCTTACCTTTCTGCCGAATTAATTGCATTCATATTTTATATTGACTGATACTACCTAAATTTTTCTCAAATAATAGTTATACTAACTATATATCTATTTATACCTTATCCGATAGGGTTTTGCACCCAGCTAACTCCGTAAACCTCAACTAAACTAATTTAAAATTATTTAAGAAGTTAATTAAGTAGCTTTTGCAAAGATGTGCTGTAGTAATTTGTTGTTGCTGGTGTGCATATGCGATTGATAATTGTAAGTATGTATTGTACATATGTATGTATGTATGTATACGAGTATGATAATTGTATGTTGTGATATTATTGCGCGCATTTCCAGAAAGAAAGCCTACATTTCATTATATGTATTAACTTTATTATTAGAGCTTAATCGTTATTATATTATCCAAACGCGTCTACGCTTAACTATGTGACGTTTTAAAATGTTCTTTGCTGTTTGTTAATATTTATATTTAGGTAAAATGTATACATACATATGTAAGTATGTACGCATGTATGTATATATAAATTTTTGCATTTTCTGTTCTTCTACGACTAAGAATAAATTTTGTATTTCTTTTGGTAAAAAAACACAAAGCTATAGTTGTAAAAAAAAACATAAATATATAACGGTAACAAAAAACATAATAAAAAATTATATTGCAAATTCGATTAATCGTCAATGAATGAATTAATTAATTATTAAAATAGTAAAAGTTGATAAGAAGAGTATGAAAAATGCTTATCTAGCAAACAACCCACCGCTATGATCTGCGTATTCCGTCAGCAAAGGATTGCCAGCGAGTGCAGCATAATTCGCATAATCGCCGTATGGTGCGAATATCATGCCATGTGCAGGATTCTCGAAGGCAGCGGGCGCAGCTTGGCCGGACAGTATGCTCGCCGCTGTCGTGGGCACGGTCATGCGTTGCGAAAGTATCAACGGAGCGCCCAGGGTGGTGGCTTGAGGGGCGCGTATCTGTTGTGCCAAGCCAGGTAGTGCTGGCGCAAGTAGGCGACTCTCAGCCGATGCAGCAATCACACGGCGCCATTCCTCCTCGCAGGCTGCAGTTGTCAATGGAAGAGTGAACGAGAAAAAACAGAAAAAATATCAAAAATTTAGATGGTAAGGAAAATAAGTATTTTTTTTTTTTTAATAAAATAAATATGTAAGCAATTTTACTCATAGAATTATAAATAATTAACTACTATTAATATTGCAATACTTATTGAAATACACGAATGCATAGTAACTATAGACGACCTACTTAGAAACCGGAGAGACGCATTTTTTTCGTCCCTGACCACACAAAGTACTACGTCTCCAAAATGACTCCTACTTAATAGCATCTTTTCTACCTCATTGGATTGGGTAGGGTGATTGGAGGAAGGATGCAGAGAGCTACTTGCACTTGACACCCCGCAAGTCTCGCTGTTGGTGGGTGTTCTGACAGTATAGGAATTCTACCTGATCTCTGCAGCCAAGAAAAAGGTTCAAATATGGACAACCACAATAACCTAACCTAATGGGCTAAATATTTCGCGCTGGGAAACTACAGCTCCACGAATTGACATGGTCCCAATTGCTATTTGCTATGGATCAATTTACTGTCAATCAATTATTACCAGAGTAATTCCAATTATCAATTTATTCTACCCAAATGGTAAATCTTCAGTGTAAAGGGAATAGCCAAATTTGGCGAATTCGGTGACTTGAGCAGCAGCGTAAATACTCAGGGGTATGCCATCCCGATCAATGACTGTTCTGGCCTGAAGTTGAGGAACTTGAACTATATGAAATCTTGTTTCAGTCAGATAGCGTTTCAAAAACAAGTCAAATAGTATACGTAATATCGAGATTCGGCTATGTGACTTACGAAGAATACATTTGTATGGATCTACACTGAGGGAAATAATGCATAGTAAAAATGAATACTTTATATTTGATTATCGTTTAAAAATGTTCGTATTTAAAAATAATATTTTCATACAAAATTTATTACGCACGTATTTGACTTCACATCTGAGTATGTATATGTAGGTGTACATACGCACCCCAAGAATGCAGAGCGCCGCTCTGAGAGCGGTGACAACACACTCATACATACATAGTACATACATGTTTATCCGTACAAATCGCGTGCTGTGGTGTTGATGGATATTCAACATTTGAAAGCAAATTTATATGCCTGGGTGTAGCTGAGTGCGCATAGGTGCTTACCACAAGTTGTTGAGATCCGGAGATGGTCGGGTTCGAATTCCACTGCAAGCAAAACATGCAAATAAATTTTTTTTTTTAGTTTTTGTCTTGATTATTCACTTCACGGATGCTTTTCCAGTACGAACGCAGTCATTTGAATTGAATATTTACCAATATACAGTACTTTCGTTGATGTTTATAGTAAGATCAATTACGTTTATATTTGATTTTAATATTTTTTTCCCTCAGTGTATACGAAGCACCGTGATTTTGAAAACAATTCCACAACTTTTGAACAATTCTATGAAGCTATTCTGCGAATTGTGGGAAAAAGTCATAGAAATTTACCTCAAGATTATTAAGTCCAGCGAACGGTCCCGTGTAGACTATTTATATTCCGTTATTGCCACATATTTTTAATGGTATAATAATAATAGATTGGCGCTTACACATACGTTAGTGTTTGGCCGAGCTTCTCCTCCGATTTGTGATGTGTGCCTTGATGTTGGAGGGATCTACAGTTTTACGTCGACTCCAAACAGCAATTGTATTTTTATGAGAAGCAGTTTTTCACGGCAGAAATACACGAGGAAGTGTGCCATTGCCTGCCAAGGGGCGACCGCTATTAGAAAACACTTTGTTATTATAAGCTTTTATTTAACTTGGTCATTTCCAATCGATTTTAAACTAACTCCCCGACAAGTTAGAGACTTGAAATTATCAGCATAGTTCCAATCACGATGACAATGCAATTTAAAATATAAATGAATTCCCTATATGTTCCAGGGGTCTTGATTCAAAAGCGGTCAAAAAATAGTACGATTTATGGCTAACAGAGCGCAATTTGCCGGCGGTAGTGTAGCAAAGCTATTTGTGGCAAATTGTAGATATCAACCTAGTCTAGATATGAACCTCGTTGTAGGCATCATATCAAGGAGATACAATTAGAAGACTCCAGATGTCGCCCCGCCAGAAGAAGTTAAATATTGCGCCTAAATATATGCCATTTACATACGCTACAGCGGAAATGGACGACACGCCATTTCTTTAAATGAAATTAGCTGCTGCGATATGTACATATGTATGTTTACACAAAACGTAAGCAAACAACATTTCTCTTTCATTGCAAGTTGAACTATTTTAATATCTATTGCAAAATTTTGTACTTAAAATAAAATAACACTTTTTAATATACAACGCTTTTATAAATGGACTAAAAATTAGAAAAAAAAATAATGTAAAAACAAATATGTTTTACAAACAAGCTTTTATTTAACATGTACAATCAAAGGAGTAAAATAAATTAGTGTAACAAAAGATTTTTTAGCAAGAAAATTTTGTCAAAACTGCACTAAAATTAATAAAATAAAATCAGTTAAGGTCTCGTTAAAGTTACTAAAAGCCATTTAG